AGATACTCATGATTTCAGGTGCTAATGGATAGTCTTTATGTAAACCATGTAGTTCTTTTGGATAATCTAAATCAACTTCTAATATATACCCTGTGTCGTCATCATCACTATATTTCATTACCCTCTTCTCATCCATTCTGCCGTAATACCATTTAAAATCATCATAAGGCAGTTTCTTACACATTGCTAATCCGTAAAGGTTATTAGCATCTAAATAACTTATGTATGATGATGGTTTAGATTTATCATAATCTTCATTCATGTATTTATTGTTTGCTTCTACTTTCTTAAAGGAGCACTGTGTCATTCCTCCCCTTAATCCATTTTCAATCATCTCATACATTTCTTTTATGTGGATTTGTTGAAGTTTCACTCCTGTTAGTGATAAAAAGGCATTCCAAGACTAATTAGGTAAGGTGAGATAATATGCTGGGTCTAATCCGTAATAGTTCAAGCACATATCCCTAAAATTTTCAAAAACATCAGTCAGTAAATATACATCAGTCATCAAATATAAATCATGATATTCACCAAGATTTTTATGTTAAAATGTTTCCACACAATATTTGCTCTGGCGTAATCTTTGTCAGTTATGTTTTCTTCATATAATTGACTGTAAAAGTCTTCTTTCTTTGGTAGTTGTGTTTCATCAAATTTATCCCATGAGTTCATATAGTCATAGGGATATACACCCTTATCAGTCAGTAAATTCAAATCAGTTTTAGATTTGATATATGGGTTGGTGCTTGTATATCTGAAATGAGTTTCCCAATCTTTTTTCTTTTCATTTCCTTCATATTTATTTAATCTGACTAACTTATCTAATGAAGCAGTTAAGAAAGCGAAACTGTCTTTAAACTGACAAGCGCCAAATGAAAAGGTTATGAACTTTTCGCAGTTTTGTGCTATTACATCTATTTTCTTGTTTTGGTTTAGTTCTATGTTTAGTTCATTTGCTCTGGCGATGATTAAGTGAGCGTCATAGTTTTTAAGATTATGAAAGAAAATAGGGATTTAAAAAAACTTAAATGAATAATCCAGATTACATTTTACATGCGCTGCGCCTCTGTATTTACCTGTGAAGTGGCAGTGGTCGCGGACTTTTGTATCGTCTTCTTGAAATTTCTTACAACAAATGGAGCAGTTGGTGGCATTTCTAAATTCTATATTTTGTTCGTAAGTTAATTCATCCATGTGTTTATTTACATTCATTTTTTCAAATATGTCTTTCTTAATTTCAGTAAGTTTTTGGACAAAATGTATCATACAATCCTCACCTCTGTATAAGTATGGTTGGCATGTATTATCAATCCTGCTTACTACATTCAACATTTAACTGCACGGTTTATGTTCCTGATATGTGCCTTTTATTCCTTTATTAGAGTTAGTGGTTAGACATTCAAAATCACCATAGATTACAAAAGGACAAGGCAATTTAGTATTATGCTTTTCAAATTCTATATAGGTGTCTTTATCTGGCATCTTTGTTTGTTGTCCTTCTGATGCCATGCATCCTTTTTCAAGATGTTTCTTATATACCTTTTCTGATTGAAATGGGTTTAAGCAATGGTGGCAGTAAAACTTTTTATTAGTGTTGCTACTGCTCTGACAGTTTAATAATCTACATTTGTTTTCTACTAATACATAATGATAGTTATTATCTTCATCATAGACTTTTAATAAATCTATTTCGTATTTAGCATTTCTATTTTTAGTTCCTCTATGTAATATGATTTTATTATCATTCAAGCAGTCATCAGGTTCAAAAACATTTATTGAAACTAATTTATTGTTTTCTTCAAATCTGTCTATGTCCCTATTACCAGTTGGAAAATTTACACCACCCAAAATTCAAAATATCATCGTTCAATTTGTTATAGTGAAACATTTCCTCTGGGTGGTGTTTGCTTATTTTGTCATAGACTACGGATTGAATACAATATTTGAAGCATTTTTGGTCTTTATTTTTAATGTTGATACATGCCTTTTTTAACTTAATCCATTCTGGTAATTCTATATGTCTCCCTGCTCTTGTTGGGTCATATCTGTCATAGTGAATAGTTATTGATAAAAAAAAAATTGAAGCGTAAATTTGATTCTGATGCTTCTAAATTTTGTATTTGTAATAAGATTTGTTTAACACTGTCTTCTAATGTTTGTGTTAGTTCATCTTCATTACTGATATTAAAGCGTGTTGATGGTAGAGCATATACAAGTTCCTGACTGCCAATTTCATTACCTCCATCATCATATTCAGGTTTTTCAAATAATCCTTCTGTTCTTATGTTAAGTTTCATGTTTCTGTTCTTTTCCAAAAATTCCAATAGTCTTTGCTTTTGGTGTGCAATCATTTCTAAACCTCTTTCACCTTCAAAGTGTTTATTTTCCAAAACTATTAAATTAGCATATCTTCTAAATGCTGATTGAATGTCTCTGACCCTAAATTTGTTTTGTACTGCGCGTTTGGTTAATAAGTTTTTGACGTTTCCTTCACTGAAAGCATCGTGCCTTGTTTAAAGCATAACTTCTGTATTCATTAGTTTTCTTTACTGTTAGTAGTTTCTTTGTTAAAACATTAGATATGGGTTTGTCTTTGTTGTATCTAAATTTCTTGTTGTCTATTACTATTGATTTCAATTCTTTTCTTCCTCTTTTTGGTATTTCTGCTAAATCATTACTCAATAGATAGTCTATAACTTTTTTCATCATATAATAGTATATATTTTATTTAGTTAATTTATCTTTAAGTAGTTTTTTAAAGAATGCCTTATTTTAATCTTTGAATATATACTTAAAGAATAGTTATTTAAGTATATTAGTAGGATGGATTGTGTGAAGGATTTACCCGTTGATGTGCTGAGTAAAATTGCTTCTTACAAAATTGGAGACCCTAAATATTTGAAAATCAAATATTGTCATATTGAGGCATTGAAGAGAATACAAAACAAATATAAGATTTCAAGACTTGGTCCTCAAATAACAAGACATTTAAAATCAAGAAATATATATATAATTGAATACTGTATTATGAGAGAGGGAGTGCCATTTAGTTTAGAAAGTATAGAAGACATAATAAGAGAAGAAAAAGAAGAGTTATTATCTTTAATTTATGAAGAAGTAGAAGATGATTTAAATTATAGAGTTAAACTTGATATTGAAGTCCAAATAGTGGCAAAACTCCCAGAAAAGGAATATGAAGAAAATGAATTTAGTTATAGAGAGATTTATTTTATGAATGACTTTGATGAATATGTAGATGAAGATAATGTAGATGAAATATTAGGGAAAGCAGTTGAAGAAATAAAAACCGACATAGAAGAAGACCGAGATAAAGATAGTATAATAGGAATACAGGCATTTCATTTTAAAATTAGTAATTATTGAAGACATTTACTACTAACATATTTCTAATAATATTCATTTATTAGAATTATGGACTTTTAAGATGGGATTATTAAAGGTTAAGGATTTATCTTTATTGTTGTTCTTTGTTTTGTTTCTTATACTTTCTTTTACTTAGTGGGGGTTGCTTTGTTTTGGGTGAGATTTTCTATGAATAAAATGATACATCTGAATACGTATTGAAGAAAATGACTGTTTTAAGATATATGGGTGATAAAACATGTAAAACTTGTGAAAGAACTATGGACGTTGATAATTTTGATGAAGGGTTGAAAACTTGTAAAATGTGCTTATCAGAAAAAAGAACCAGTTATAACAAACATAAAGATAAACGAAATGAGGTTCAAAGAAAAAGATACGAGGAAGATGAGGAATATAGAAAAACGAAGCAGGACTACAATAAATCATTTCAATCTAAAATTGTTAGTTGTTCTATTTGTAACTGTTCAATGACCCAAGCAAATTACTATAAGCATAAGAAAACCGATAAGCATCAAAGAAATTTGGAAAAAGGCAGTAGTTAGGTTTTTATAGAAATGAATGAAGTAATTATGTATTGACTGTGATGATTTTGAAAAATGAAAGAGGTAATTTATGGTTAGTAGTGATGATTTTTAAAAAATGAAGGAGGTAATATGTGGTTAGTGGTGATGATTTTGAAAAAAATGAATGAGGTAATTATGTTTTGATATTGTTGAGAGAAAATGAAGCAATCAACAATATTTAAACTGACTTTTCAGACTGTTATGCTTTTTTTTTGTGAATATTTTTTGAGTTGTTATACTGCTATGATATTAGTTTAGAAAACTTCTTTCAATCAATCTTTTATACATTTTTTAGGGGAGCCCCGGGAGCCCCTGCCACCGAGTCACCGCCGAGGGTACAAACACGCAATTTACGGTCTTTTGTGGCTTTCCCATTTTTTCCATCTTGTGGATCAAGATGGGTCAACGTGGCACAACATAAGCCCCAAAACGCGCAAGCTATATAGCCCCAAATGGCCCAAGATGGCCCGCAAGCTGGGCCCACACAGCCCCAAGATGGGCCCACATAGCCCCAAGATGGGCCAACATAGCCCCTAAGATGGCCCCAAGTTGGTCCAAGAGGGTCCAACATAGCTCGAAGACGGGCCAACATAGCCCCTAATGTGGCCCCAAGCTGGTCCAAGAGAGGCCAACATAGCAGCGAGCTGGGCCAACCTCGCCCCAAGATGCGCCTACTACAGACCTTGTGGATGGGCCACAACCACAACCACAGCAACCACAACCACAACAACAACAATAATAACAAAGAAGAAGAAGAAGAAGAAGAACAAGAACAAGAACAAGCACAAAAATGCGACAAAAAGATGTGTGGTAAGATGGTTACAAGCTGCAGTATGACAAGAACATCACACTGTGCTCTGCCCCTGCGCGCACGCACAGAGCACATGAACAACACCAACGCTCACACTACTATACATAACCCTTATGGCATCGCCGGTGTGCGAAGCTCTACAATATACATGTAAATGAGGCTCAATATTGAACTGATGTTTCTAGATGTTTTTAGCGTCTCTGCTTTGAACTGGTGTTCAATTTCAGGACCGGGGCTGCGACGAGACTTGCATCCAATTGCTCTTTGCCTCCGGTGAGCAGGCAAGGACTGGTCAGTGACCAAGGCGGCATAGTGTAATTCTGTCTGTCTGCCAAACTGACTGTCATTTCTGTCTGCCCTTTGATATCTATCTTTCTTTCCTGTCTATCTGTCTACCTATCTTTCCATCTATCTAAATCTAACTATCTATATGTTTCTATCTGTTCTCTATCTATCTATGTCTATCTTTGTCTATCCATATGTATCTATATCTATGTACCTATCTATATCTATACCTATACCTGTATCTATATCTATACTATCAGTTGCTGCCGACTGTAAAGTTTTGAAGGTGCCTACGGTCGATACAAACATTTCTTGAATTGGAGAATCTCTGACGTGTTTGTAGGTGGTGCTGGATTTACATGATCGGCAGCTGGACGTCAGAATTCACAAATGCCGGACATCCCATTCAATGCAAAGTGAATTCCACTAGGCCCAGATTGCACCTCCTCGTGATTGGCAAGCAGCGGCTTACGGAAGGCTGCATAGATCTCGTGACACAATAGGGTCATCATCAGGATGAATAAGATGGACAACACCGTGATGTCGAATGGCACAACTCCTTGGAGGATGTGAATGGAGATACATTGGCTACATTGGATTGTCACCGGACTTGGAGCTGAGGCAAATCCCCGAATTTGCAGCATGGAATGACAAAGTCTGCAGGCATCGGAACCAGTAAATTTATCTGCAAGCATGGAAAAAAAAAAAAAAGAAATTTCGCCAATTCAGTCCAAGTCTCGAGTCGGGAAGCTGTCTGGAGACATATGACTGGTTAAGGGTCCTTCCAGTCCTTAGAATCGAGCTAGAAAACAGAACTCCAAGAATTTGTAAGTTTCATTAAGTTCCTAACCCCTTTTCCAATTGCCTTTTTCATCGTGCAGTGTAAGCTTTCCAGTGTAGAGCTCCTGCTTAAATCTACATCCAATGCGGCTCTTCCATGGCCTTTGCACTGCCCATGAAATCACTTTCTTTCCAACGCCCACCGATATTCGACGTGTAAATACGAACACGAAAACGTAGAAATGTGACTCCCTCCCGAGTCTGAAACTGATGAATTTCTACTCCCTAGTGCGGGAACCCATTTGTACGAATGAATGGTACATACACAGATTGTGTACAGTAAACGTATACGTGAATTAAATGGAGCAGTATGTTATGTATAGTCAATTATAATCACGTGTATACATAGGGACAATATGAATATATATATATATATATACAAATATATGAGTAATACACTTCATATCACTTCATACATATTCTTTCACAATACATATGTACATGATTGTACATGACCAAATTTCATCGGCGACTTTCTCTGGATGTCAATGGCAGCGGCAATCTGGATAGGGTACACACTTTGTACACCTTGAACACCCAAGGTTTCATCCAAAAACGAGTGGCGGGCAGTCTCCACGGCATCTGAGGTGATGCTGGCAGAGATCCTCAGTGTCGGGTTGTTCAACCTGGTACCACCTGGCAAAAACCACCTGGTTAAAAGAAGAACCGGGATGGACCCAGCTGATTTTCGTAGGGTTTCAGTTCCCATGTTGTTGTTGAGTTCCCCGAAGCTTAGCTTTTGCTGGAGTACACTTCAACTGGACTTGCCAAATACATGGGAGTACTGAAGTACCTGCTCGCAAAGATCAAACGAGGCAATGATAAAAATATGTGTAAAATGTATGTATATATTGTATAATATATATATATATATTATTATATTATATTATATTATATTATATTATATTATATTATATATATATTGTATATAATACATATATATATATATATTATATTATATATATTATATTATATATATTATATAATATATATACATATATTATATTATACATATTATATATTATATATTATATATTATATATTATATATACTATATATTATATATATTGTATATTATATATATTATATATTATATATTATATATTATATATATATATTATATATTATATATTATATATTATATATATTATATATTATATATATTATATATTATATATTATATATTGTATATTATATATATTATATATTATATATATTATATATTATATATATTATATATTATATATATATTATATATTATATATATTATATATTATATATATTATATATTATATATATTACATATTATATATATTATATATTATATATATTATATATTATATATATTATATATTATATATATTATATATTATATATATACACATATCGATGTTTGATAAAGTTGCAACTGTAGAGAGAGAGAGAGAGACAGAGGGGGGTTGCTTGCCCATTGCCAATTGCTGGACATTGCCATTGCTCTTGGCAAAGTGTGTGGAAGGCCCTCATCCCTTAAACATCCTTAAGCATCCTTAAGCATACTTAAGCATCCTTAAGCATCCTTAAGCATCTTAAACCTATTTAAACCTTGAAAATATTGGAAATCAAGAGGCGTCAAGCTATGTTGAAGCCATCCTGCTGCCCAGCAAGCATCACCCTGCCACGTCAAACGGTCAGACTGACGGTCAGACGTGCTGTGAGAAATTGTAAGAACGGTGAGAAGCGGAAAGATATGGAAAGACCATGAAAGACCATGCAAGACCCAAAGGTCCAACTCAAGGTTTCCTACAAGATGACACAACGACACAACGAGGATGTCTAAGGCGACTCTCAGCTTTTTCTATCGCCGCTGAGATTCTCCGCCTTCTAGCCGATATTGCAGGATGTAAAACAACCCTGCAGTTCCACCGATGGTTTCTTTCCAACTTGCTAATGCAGCTCCAACTGTAAACATGGACTGGAAGAAACTGCACATGTATGCAGAAATAATACCGAAGAGATTTCATCTTTGAAAGTAACAGCAGCTTCACTTCGCCCTGCATTGACAGCCGCCTCGCAAGTGTCGGTGAAGGAAGACATTGTCCTTAGCTCCAGCAGATTGGCCCTCGTTTAGAAACATTGTCATCTCAAGTTCTTCAAACACATCTGCACATGGAAAATTATGACTTTGGCCCTTTGGCCATACCGTATTCCAACAGAAAGTGCAATTTCAAACAGCGCCTAGGGTCCTATGCAAGCATCAATGAGCCCCCACCTAAGGCACCTGTACCCAATGTTCCTGTCGAGGCTCCGGTTCGGTGGTTCAGCTTTTGTGAGTGAAGAGATTTCCACTCTGCTCTGAGCCAAACAGCACAGCGGTCCGAATTTTCCAACGGTGGTGCTGCGGTTTTTTTCAGAAATGAGAAGCTCCAAGAGGTTGAAGGTCGATGACAAACGCTCAAGAGGTCCCACTGCATTAGATTGTTGACACCTGTTGAAACAATCCGTTGCAGGGCCCATAACAAATCATATCATAACTTGTGATTCTTACATGTTCTTACATTGTCTTCTTGCATACTCTTGGACTGGAATAGCCCGCCAGTTTCTAACGCTTCCAACATGAAGATAATGAATCGGGAGAAAGGTCCAAATGGATTGAAGCTGCTGAAGCGCCAGATCCATACAGCAGTGTTGGAGCCCCTGACGAACCACATTAAACATCATTAACATTCATTAACCATATTCAAGTTGTTCTCCAGGATTGGTGTTACAGTTCATGTGTTCCTGAGTCGTGCTTCCTGGCAAGCTGACGCTGATGTCTTGAGACAAACCAAGTGAGCGCCAAAGCAGTCGAGGGGCCGCTCCTCATGACCTCTGGAGCAAAATGAGCAAAATGCTCAAAATGTTTAGCGCTTGACAAATCTCTAACGCCGACTACAACTAGGCACAAAGATCCCCGTTCAGATTAGGGGGGAGAGGTCGCACCCGGCTTCTTCTAAGCATAAACCAGTGGGATTTTGAAACACTTCAAAATGTACAACCTTGCGTTTTAGGTGCCCTGTTACAAAATGCCCTGGTTAGGGGGCTCATTGTAACTACAAAATGCCTATATATAAACCATTTATAAGAGGGTCGACCTCTTCCAAAATATAAGGGAAAATTGGACAGAGGTGCACAAAGTTCTTTCATGTTCTTTCCAAGACAGCCACTGAAACAACATGAAACAATCTGTCTCCATGGTTTCAAGAAGTTGTTCTCCATGGTTTCTCCATGTTTCTGGGAGCCGGGCGCAACCTCCAGGGCCTCACCTCTCCATGGTCTCCGATCTCAAGGGACACGTGGCCACGAAAGAGCTTCGCCAGCTCTGGACCACGGATGGGGGCCATGGCAGGTCTTCGAAAGTCTTCGAAAGTCTTCTGTCTTTGCAATATGATTTTGAGTTTTCCCCAGATAGCTGGCAAGCTATAGGGGTTCTTACTTCTCAAAGGTGGGGTCTTCGGTGGCGAACTTTTGGCCAAGGTGCTGTGCAGGGTGCTGTGCAGGGTGCTGTCCAGACTGCGGTGGCGAAGTCTGGCAAAGGTGCTGTGCAGGGTGCTGTCCAGACTGCGGTGGCGAAGTCTGGCAAAGGCGCTGTGCAGGGTGCTGTACAGGGTGCTCTGCAGGGTGTTGTCCAGAGTGCGGTGGCGAAGTCTTGCAAAGGTGCTGTGCAGGGTGCTATGCAGGGTGCTGTGCAGGGTGTTCTGCTTGGTGTTGTCCAGACTGCGGTGGCGAAGTCTGGCAAAGGTGCTGTGCAGGGTGCTGTGCAGGGTGCTGTGCAGGGTGTTGTCCAGACTGCGGGGGCGAAGTCTGGCAAAGGTGCTGTGCAGGGTGCTCTGCAGGGTGCTGTCCAGACTGCAGTGGCGAAGTCTGGCAAAGGTGCTGTGCAGGGTTCTGTCCAGACTGCGGTGGCGAAGTCTGGCAAAGGTGCTGTGCAGGGTGCTGTGCAGGGTGCTGTGCAGGGTGCTGTCCAGACTGTGGTGGCGAAGTCTGGCAAAGGTGCTGTGCAGGGTGCTGTGCAGGGTGCTCTGCACTGCGGTGGCGAAGTCTGGCAAAGGTGCTGTGCAGGGTGCTGTGCAGGGTGCTGTGCAGGGTGCTGTGCAGGGTGCTGTGCAGGGTGCTGTGCAGGGTGCTGTGCAGGGTGCTGTCCAGACTGCGGTGGCGAAGTCTGGCAAAGTGTGCTGTGCAGGGGGCTGTGCAGGGTGCTGTGCAGGAAGCTGTGCAGGGTGCTGTACTAGTGCGGTGGCGAAGTCTGGCAAAGGTGCTGTGCAGGTGCTGTGCAGAGTTCAGACTGCAGTGGCGAAGTCTGGCAAATGGTGCTGTGCAGGGTGCTGTGCAGGGTGCTATGCAGAGTGCGGTGCAGAGTGCTGTGCAGGGTGCTGTGCAGGGTGGTGTGCAGGGTGCTGTGCAGAATGCTGTTCAGACTGCAGTGACGAGTCTGGCAAAGGTGTTGTGCAAGGTGCTCTGCAGGGTGCTGTCCAGACTGCGGTGGCGAAGTCTGGCACACAGCACCCTGCACAGCACCCTGCACAGCACCCTGCACAGCACCTTTGCCAGACTTCGCCACTGCAGTCTGGACAGCACCCTGCACAGCACCCTGCACAGCAATTTTGCCAGACTTCAAAACATTCCGGTACCGGCCCATTAACAAACCAAAGCGTTCTGTACCGGTCCATTAAGCAAAACCATAAAGTATAAAGTTGTAAAGAAAATGTTTTCATATCATTTTGACATGCGCTTTTTTCGTTCAAAAACATTTTTATGCCGCGCAAACATTCCGCTACCGGTCCATGAAGCAAAACAAAAGGTTCTGTTACCGGCTCAGCAAACAAAACAAAACAACATAAGAACCATGAGTTCTAACTTTTTGCAATCAACAGATCCTTCCACTGGTAACATTACTTTTTCAGGCTTGGAACCATGAGTTTCAAGCTTTGGGAACCCGCAGTTCCTTACAATGAAAGCCGCTTAGCTTCGAAAACATAAATTCGAACTTCTGGGAACCGGCAATTCCTTGCAATGGTAACCTCTAGTTCCCAGGTTGGGAACCGTAAGTTTCAAGGTCTGGGAACCGGCAGTTCCTTGCCATGGTAACCTTTGGTTCCCACGTTGGGAACCGTCAGTTCCAACCTTTAGGAACCGGAAGTTCTTTGCAATGGTAACCTATGGTTCCCAGGTTGGGAAGCATGAGTTCCAACCTCTGGTAACCGGCAGTTGCTTGCAATGGTAACCTCTGGTTCCCAGGTTGGGAACCATGCGTTCCAACCTCTGGGAACCGGCAGTTGCTTGGAATGGTAACCTGTGGTTCCCACGTTGGCAACCGTGAGTTCCAACCTTTGGGAACCGGCAGTTCCTTGCCATGAACCAAACGCAAACATTCTGGTACCGGTCCATTAAGCAAAACAAAGCGTTCTTTGCCGGTCCATTAAGCAAAACCATAAAGTTGTAAAGAAACTGTTTTCATATCATTTTAACATGCACCTTTTTCGTGCAAAAACTTTTTTTGCCGGCCCAGCAGCCAAACGCAAACATTCCGCTACCGGTCCATTAAGCAAAACAAAAGGTTCTGTTACCGGCTCAGTAAACAAAACAAAACAACATTAAGAATTATCTAGATTCAAGAGCCCTGCTCTTGAGGCTACTTCGAGATTGGTACGAACCATGATTTTTCAAGGGGCAGTTTGTTGGGTACATTGGTAGCGATCAATCAGTACAGTGGGGCGACAAGAGTGCAACAAGTACATTTTGAAAAGTGCGATGGTGCAACATCGGTGCCGTTGAGTGCGCTCACATGGCGCAATGATTACATATGACTGGAACAAACGACTGTAAAAAATTCATCAGGACCATGTTAATTACTGATAAAGTGCATCATGACTCCTGACTCTCAGGGTTCCACTTGGCAAATATGTTTTTCCTGTCCGCTCTGTTCAAATTCAGAGTATGGTATAGTGGTGGATGTTGTTTGATGCTTTACATCACTCCACAAAAGAACCACGTTTTGTGGTCGATTCAATTCCGCTCTCGGCTTTTTGAAGTTTTAGTGAACGACCTTTTGGCGTTTCAAAGCCGAGACACGTGATGTCAATTTGTTTTCCTGCTCTTCTTCGGAGCTTGATGTGTAATTGAGTTCCAAAATGGTGGCCAAGAAAATGGCCAGCGGCCAGCATCACAGTGCTGGTAAACCTGAGTGACTGAGCAATCAGCAAAACAAAACGGTAAATAAATATAATGAACCAAATTACCAGAGATCCAGAGCATAGTCCAAATTAGTTGTGAAGAAACTGTGAAACTGAGAAACCGAAACACAGATTTTTGATTTTGATTTGATTGATATGATTTTATCTTCATCGTCATTATGAATTCAAAAACCGATATGATAATGGAACAGTTTGACGTTTGAAGTTTGAACATTTGAACTTTGAACATTTGAATTTGAAAACATAGTTCCTCACAGCAACGCGTTGCCGGAAAGTGAGCTCAGACTGACTTCACTGAAGTGAAGTAGATCATCTTCATGGAACTGCAATCCCTGAAGGTGCAAAGTCTCGCGACCTGAGAGCGGTAGATGTTGGAAACATAGGATCTGAAGACCAGATGAAGACTTTGAAAACTCAAGACTCGAGACTGAAGACATAAACGTTCTGATGCACAGCTAAGTAAATGAATCTGAGTTGAAGTAGTAAGATAGTAAACCAGTGAATTTCTAAATTCTAAATTCTAAATTCTAAAAACAACTCAGTAAACAAAGTAACTAAACAAACAGTTACTTGAAGCAAATGATAAGAGTCCCAACAAAAGCCGGCAACGTTCCAGATCAAAGATCTTCCATGAAGGGAGCAGAGTAGGTACTTCCTAAGTAAGAATAAAAATATAAATGATTGATTCAATTCTCTCCGGTGACAAGTGGTTCCATCGACTCTACTCTCTACTCTACATTGCTAAAGCACTAGCAACCAACTATCAACATCTCCCAACTCGCAACTATCAATAACATTGAAATTCAGAATGGAATCTTGTCCGGAGCTTGTAGGAGTGCGGTTCGCTGACTGATAAATATCACCATAGCGAATGATGTCCTTATTCTTGGCAGCCTGCATCGCCTCCTTTTCCTTCCGCAGGAAGATCACGTTCTGAGATGACAAACAGAGGGTAACTGATCAAAGTGTGAACAATGAACATTCACTACCATCGTACATACATTAAAAAAAAACTGCAACATTTCTTCTGACAAGAATCTTCACGCTCACGAAAGCTAAGTGATTGAAACCAAGAGCTTGATGCCAAGTCTGATGGTACTGGAAGAGGCCATTGCAACCCACCTAAGTCGAGTCTTTTGCATCACATCGAATGTAGCACTGGCCGTATAATTATATTTAGGTGCTATGGTTACAGTTGAATTATTGTTTTTTAATTTAGACTTTAGACTTAGACTTAGACGACCTTATAGTAGACAGAGAGGCTATGATTTGGTATTGGCTTGACTGATCATCAGTTGATGTTGATGCGGTTCCAACTATAGACCATCAAAAAATGAAAATAAAGAACATGGCTTCATCACACCAAAATACGTTTCTCAGCCAGATCCATGTGTAGTCCTTTCCACTTTGCTGACTCCTTTTCCGAAGCCTTACCACTCTCTTCTTTGCTAGCTTTGAAACGCAACCTTCGTTCCAACTCTGCTACTACCATTGGATGTTCATCTGGAAGCAAAACGTCCTCCTTAGCAGATAAAGTAAGTTGAGTTGAGTTGAGCAAAGTTGTCCACAAGAAACACGTGGTGTGAAAAACAAACAACAAGTATATAACTACTATCTAGAGTTAGTAAATTGTAAAAGTAAAAGTAATAAAGTGAAGGAGTCCTAATTGTACATTCTCTACTCTACGGAGAGAGAAAGAGATAGATGGAGAAAGATAGGTGCAGCAAAACTTGTGAAACAGTTCAAAGTTCAAAGTCAAAGCTCAAAAAAATAAAGAACTTCAAGAACACATATCAGGTGTGTAACATGGCAAGTGCTAAGGTCATGTCTGGCGTTTGGGTCTTGAGCTGAAATAACTTCAACCACTCCTCAATCCGGTGGAAAGATTTCTCATCCTGGGTTTCCTTGTTCAGACCGACAAAGAACAAGCGAACACGGCGTTGTGGAACGCCGAAATCGCAACTGCAAAGTTTGAACACTTTGACAAAGTAGCCGGATCCGACCTGTTCCAAAGTTTGAACTATCACGTTGAAATTGCTGGTGCTATCATCGGTTGAAGAATCCATGTCGACGTTCTCCAAAGTGAAGAAGTCAACTACGGCTTGATTGAGATAGTCTCGCACTGCCCGAAACGTTTGATACGAACTTGA